TATATATATATACATATTTATTTGATTTATAAAGTAAAATTAATACAAAATTAAGATTTTTTTTTCATTAGTTAATTTAAAAATGGGCTTAATTACCTGATATTTATCAAAAGCAGAGTTGAGCAAGAAGAGTGGGGTCTTAATATATCTGACCACATTTTCGGGCCAAAAACACTGCATATATATATATTTTTTTTTATTTATTTATATAATTGAATTTGTTCAACACAAAATCAATATCCAAATTAACATAATAATTATCCACCAAAAAAAATAAAATAAAATATGATGGAAAAGTAAATAGCAAAGTCAACTCACCGAATTGGAAGCCATTCTTGACTTGCATGCTCTTGACAGAAATTTTGCTATTCCCTACACCAAAGATAAATGTTATTAATAGTGGTATATATCCTAATTATTATAAATTTTGTGGAGAAATAAATTAAAGCCCTCTAAAATTAATATATTTGATATTAATTGTATATTAAATTAAAGCCCTATATATTTTGTGCTGACTTAGTTTATAGTGCTATGCATTATAATAGAAGAAAGGCATGGAGCAATACATGAAGCTCAACCACTTGGGCAAAATAAGCTTCTCTTTGATATGCATTTGGAAGATCTTTCCTGAAGTAGAAAAAAATAATAATAATTAATTAAATAAATAAATAAAATAACATTGAAAATTTAATAAATGCGCGAATTAATTAACCGTATAAATAAATAAGTAATAATGGTGCTTTATAGCACTTTTATAAAATAAAAAATGAAATCTAGCCATGTTTTTCAAAAAATCAAAATCTAGCCATTTTGGCTTGCAAAAGTACATAATTGCCCTTAAAACCATTTTTTCTTATGTCAAAAGCTTTAAATAACCATTACTTTTTATAAAAAATGAAAGTGTTATTGCCCTTTTATAGCACTTAACCAAAAACAAAAATCATCAAGAATAAGCTAAAAAAGCTCAAATTTCAAATATTTGAGAAATGAGTAGAATAAATAATACTCCTCTTTGGGAAAATATTGAAAAAATCCGAAATAATCAAGAATTAATTCTTGAAAGACTTCAAAAAACGAGCAGAAATATCGAATTTCTTGATACTTTACTATCAGAAATTCTTGAT